AATTAACTGTTTTGGCGGTAGAGTCAGAAAAACAGTTATCCACTCCCAGTCAGTATTTAGCCTCCCTTTCATCACCGCCGCATTTTGGCTTAGAAAACGAAACAATTAACACACTTTCTAAAAAAAAATAACTATTTCCGAAAAAAAATTTCTCTTGGAACCGTGCAAAGAGTCCGAACTACTCTTTTCGAAACCATAAGTTTTAAAGGATACAAATGCTTTTAAAATTGGAAGATCAGAAACAAAATTTGCCAACACTTTCTCCGTAGTATCGCTCACTCTTTCATTACCATTTCCATCTAATAACCATAACAGTTTTAGAACTTGATGATATAACAGTCATTTAAAAAAATTTTTAGACTATGATCATTCCATCAAAAAAGGACGCGGTTGTTTAATTATTCACCTCCAGCATTTATCTTGATTAATACCCCGCCTGTCTAAAAAAAGAAATGTTGATAGTTTTTCTCCATGCTAAAAGAGCTTTTTCTTTAACAATTACTTTCCAGTCCTCAATAGAAAATGTCGAACGCCTCAGTTTCCAAAAATTGTCCCCTAAGTATAAATGGAAATCTATTACATACAGACAAAGCGGATATCCAAGCGTTCCAATATCCAAACTAACTTTTAGAAAAAAAAGAGATATAGTTCCGATTTCTCGAAAACGTTAAAGCTTAAGAGTAACTACGAATCATCCATTCTCTATCACATTTTTCATGCGAGATAAAAGGTCCCCACAGGACTCAAATCATTGTAGGCTAAAGCATGAGCGCTATCACTAATTTAGACAAATCAGATGCTGCATTTAAATTGATTATAAACAAAGTCAACAAATGGTTGTCGGATTCAACCAACAAAACTGATCAAACAAGAATTTTATGAGCTGTCATGATTTTGTCTTAAAAAAATTCTGTTCTTGAAAATCCAAACTCTTGCTTATCGCACTGGCAATCAAAGCAAGTCATGGAAAGTGGATTGTACAGGAAAAAAATTACTTTGAAAAATAAAAACCATTTCGAAACTAACTAACAATCAAGCATCAATTTTGCCACATTTTCATTCTTGCTATCAGTGAGCGCAATTTGACACTAAACAATTGAAGTAGAACGAACTTAGAATGAAATAAAAAAATAAACTGAAATCTAAATTAGAATTGTTACTGTGCAAGTAGCAGAGAATGTTCCGACCAGTCATAAAAAATTACAACAAAATTCTTTTTCCAATTAGTGTCGTTTTATCGGCTTGGCGTGATAAAGAATCTGAGCAAAAAAAACAGAGCTTAGGCATTTTTCTCAGTTACTGTAAAATATGCAAATTGGAAAACAATTTTTGAAGACAAATAACAAGAAAAACAAAATCAAAATAAAAAAAAATTTCCCAAATTTTTGAAGTGTTTGATTCCTAAGATGAAGCTAAAAACTCCAAAAACTAACTTCATTTGAGTAAAAACTAGTTTTTAAAGGCTTAAATCAAGCATAAATAAGCTATTGTAAGCCTGCTCACTCGCTCGCAATTAGACGAAAAAAAAATTCAAACCGGTTTTTCTCGACACCGGGAAAACTTTTTCGGAATTTTTCTATGTCGTTCGAATCACGACTGATAGGGCTTTAATATGATATATCACTCAACCCAGTCCAATCATTATTTGTGGTACCTGATTTTGCGTGGAAAACAAGAAGCAAAAAAACTAAAACACACCCGAATACAAAGTTCCTCCCTATTTTCAATGGTAGGAACAATAAAAAGAAAACTCAATTCTTTTATCAACATCAAATCAAATGCAGTGAGGCAAAGCAACAAAAAAGCAGAGCATCTGAAAAAGCACACAACGAAACTTGAAACACTTCGAAGCTTAAAACATACCCAAGACAAACTTCCTCCCCATTCTCAATGGTCGAAGCAAAAAAAACCGGGCGAAGATTAAAAAAAAAAGTTTTATAATTCGAAACATTTAATTTTTGAGAAAAAAGTTTGAATAAAAACTCAATCGACTTCAAACAACGCGATATGAGGCGAATAAAACCGATATAAAACAAACCGAAACCAAATAAATCAACAAATATTTTCAGCGAAAAAAAATTACATACAGATACAAGACGATCATAACAGGGTAAACTAGCCGACAGAGAATGAGACGAAACATTTTAGACAAGAAATTACCACGGTCTACATAATAGTTTTCACTACGTTTGTTATTCTTAGAAACAGTAAAAAAAACTATGTTCCAAAATTCGAAAATAATTGTCTCAATTTCTCTGCTAAAAAGTTCCTTCTAAAAAAAATAAGTCAATTATGAAATACTATCAAGCAAACTAATGAATAAGACCGGAAAAAAGCTTCTGAAAATGAACTAGAGTCGATAAAACATGAGCAGCCACCTATTTAGCTGAAGAAAAAACGGCTTCAAAAAACTAACTCGGAACACACACATGACAATTTTTTCGCTCATCAAACGACGCTTCATGCAGGTATAACATAAAACGAAATTTTTTAAGCAGACTCAAGGAAAAAACGAAAACACAGAAAGAGTTGTTAAATTCAGAAAGTAGTAAAAAAGAACCTTCGAATAGAATTTTGTTTATTTGAACTGAAAGATGAAAAATGGGTGAAGCTATGTTTTTATTGCAAGGAAAAAACGACCATTGGCAACATTTAAACTGAAATATGAAAAAAGGGTGAAAGTTATTGTTTTTATTGCAAGGAAAAAATGACCATTGGCAATATTATTTAAACTGAAATATGAAAAATGGGTGAAAGCTATTGATTTTATTGAAAGGAAAAAATGACCATTGGCAAGAAAAATTGAAGTCTATCGGTTGCAACAAAAACTTATGGACTTTCCTGACAGAAATTACTGTCGAATCTAATCTCATCTAGTAGAATCCTCCCCATCAAAATCGACGAGTCTCTCAGCCGGATCAAAAACTTCCAACTGTTCTCTGCGGCTGAATTTAACTTAAATAATGTAATTTTGGAACTTCAAGCAAAACTCAATTAAGTAACCTGGCGTCAAAAAGCATTTATTGTGCCTTTCAAAACAAAAAGATAGACTAAAATTAATTATTCACTCTACTGACGCTACGCAATAAAAAATGCTACAATTAAATTGGCGCAATTACATTAACTACAAGTTACTTTATTTTAAAAAATCGATCACAGACAAACCAAACTAGATCCAAGCACGGTCGTTTTGCTCAAACCATTAAGCCTCGATTCAGCATTTTGTTTCAAATATTCATTTTTTCTGAAGTCTATCCAATTTTATTCTCATCTCTTGTTAAACCATCAGCGGAAATAAAACATTGGTCGGACTCAAACATGTGGTTCTTCCAAGCCTATCGGATAAACATAATTGTTTGAACAAAAATTCAATCAAATTCAATTGACGCGATATGAGATAACTTAACTGATATGACATAAGCAAAAACCAAATGAAACAACAAATATTTCAACCGCAACAAAAACTATACGCAGATACATTACGAAAGTAACAGGGCATACTAGCTGACAAAAAATGAGACCAAAAATTGAATTTAAAAATCACCATGACTTATATACGACTCTTATAAGTTAATTGCTCTTGTTTTTTACGTTAATTGCTCTTACGTTAATTGCACTTAAAAATCTTAAAATTGATCTTAAAATCTAGATGTTCCAAAGCACGAGAATATTTGCCGCGATTTGTCTTCTATAGAGTTCCTTCTAAGAACACATGTTCCTTCTAAGATAGAAACAAAGCTTCTGAAAAGGTATTAAAGCCGAGCAAGCACCCATTGAGCTGAAAAAATGGTTTCTAGAAAAAAAAAACTGAAAAGGTATTTAAGCCGAGCAGGCACCGATTGAGCTGAAAAAATGGTTTCAAGAAAAACATTTTTGGAGCCCCTTTCTTAATACACACGAGTAAACGCATAATTAATTGTTTCCTCATCAAACCACGCATAATGAAGCCACTAAGCCGATATTAAAGAAACTGAAACCTCAAAAAAAAATACAAACGGTAATCCAGAAAAATTTGGTAAATTTAGAACGTTGAAAAAACTTCAAACAAAAATGTTTTTGAAAACTTCGGAGTTTTATTGATTTGAGCTGAAAAATTTACATATAGTAGAATTTAGTGTTTTTATTGTGATAAAAAACAATTGCTGGCAAAAAAGCTGAAGTCTCTTGGTTGCTTCAAAGTTTTATGGACTTTCCTGTCAGTAATTACTGTCGAATCTTAACTAATTTATGGAACTCTTCTTAAAAAAATTGATTGTTAACCGAAAACTGAAGAATCTCCCAGCCGGATTAAAAAGTTCGAATTGTCCTGTCAGCAATTACTGCTGAATTTAATTTCACTTATGGAACTATGAAACTTCTAGCAAAATTTATTTAAAAAGCCTGGCTAATCAAAAAAATATTGTGCATTTTAAAACCAAAAACGAAAAAAAATCAACTATTCATTTACTGATCCAACGCAAGAAAACCTGTTTATGCTACAATTACAAGTTGAATATAAGTTCTTTCATTAATAAAAAAATCGCTCATAAAGGATGATGCATCACGGGACCACTATGCCTTTATAACATAAACTGAAACCTTTTCAGTCGACTCAATAGAAAATGAGAAACGAAAACAAAGAAAGAGCTGGTAAATTTAGAAAGTAGTAAGAAAGAAACTTCGAATAAGAGTTTCGGAATTTGATTGATTTGCACTTTAAGATTCAAATTGGGTGGAAAATATTATTTACATTGCGACTAAAAATGATTGCTGACCAGAAAAACTGAAGTCTTTTGGTTGCTACAATAACTTATGGACTTTCCTGTCAGTAATTACTGTAGAATCTCATCTCATTTAGTAAAATCCTCTGGATCAAAAATTGACTGCTGACAAAAAATTGATGAGTCTACCAACCGGTCCTGGCAAAAATTACTGCTGAATTGAACTTCATTTATGAAATAATAAAACTTCTAGCAAACTTACTGAAGAAATCTGGCTATCAAAAAGAATTTATTGTGCCTTTCAATACAAAAAGATTAACTAAAATTAATTATTCACTTTACTGATGCAACGCAATAAAACCTGTTTATGCTACAATTAAATTAGCGCAATTACGTTAACTACAAGTTACTTCATTAATACAGAAAAATCGGTCACAGACAAACCAAATTACGTCTAAGCAAGGTAGTAACGCTCAAAACTTAAAAGCCTCGCTTCAGTATTTCATTATTATGTTCAGTTTTTCTAAACTCCTTCCAGTTTTTCTTATTCTATCTCTTACGCGACAATCAGCATGAATTCACACATTGGTCGAACCCAACAGATGTGTTTCTTCAGACGCCTATCGTGTGTACGTCATTTCCACCGGTATCGTCAACACAACCACTTTCAATATGTTGACTATTCGTGAACTCGGATCTAGCCGTACTGCTGTGTGTCGCGATGATGTCCGAATGATTATTGCGATAATCAGGCTCTAATGGATGAATACTTGGTCCGTCTGTGCTTGAAACTAAGGAAGTCACACTTTCATCGCAAGAAAAGACATTAACTTTGTTCTCTTGTAAGGCGGCGGCACGTGATCTCAGCACGAATTGCTTAAATTTGGAGCGTCTAATTTCTCTCCATGACATTTCTAAGGCATTTCTATCTGATCTGTTTCGACCTCTTCGATAACACAGAAACGGATGTTGCATGTCTACCATATTACAACTTTCGTTTGTTTTCATCTCAGTAGCTTTGTTTTTGTCCGAGATATAGACCACCCTCTTTTCGCCCCAGTTATCCAGTTCTTCAGAGTCCAGTCCTCTTGCTATCATCCGAGGCAAAAATAAGGCTTTTCTTTTCACTGGGTTTTCATCACTGTCAGAGGACATCACAGCTTGATTGAAAAGCAATTGAATGTCTTTAGGCAATTGATTTTTCACAACATCATTCCAAGTCAGGTCGCAAAAGTCCGACTGCTGCAGGTCTTGTTCTGACATTTCCAGTCGTACATTTAACCCCACGCAGTTATCGCCTTCTTCAAACACAAGACGGAAAATGTTGCAATGCTTTCCTACTTTTTCTGCTAACTGCACTGCATATTGCTGCTCCAGTTGCCTTTTGCTCTCCTCTCTCCACTTACTCCTGATCAAGATTTGGTTCATCTCTAAGAACAAATTAAGGCAGGAGACATTATCTTGATTGGACACTATTAACTGCAACTGGCGCGCAGTAGCATGTATGAATTTATCGATTGTGAACACGCCATATGCATTGAGACCCAGTCTTGCTCTGACCAGATCCTCCAACTGATTTGAGTCGATCTTATTGTCCATTCTATCACATATCGCATCCAGTAACTCCTCGTATACTTCCTCAGCACCACTGAAAGTCTTCTGTGGTTTCTTCAGTTCCAGTGAAATTGCGACACCTCTCTTCTTGTCCATTGACTCTGATCCCCGATTTGCGTCGACTGCGGTGGCATTCTTCTGAGACTCAACTGCAGCCTCACATTTACTGTACAGGGTGGCTAATTTATTAGCGAGCATGATGTGCAGACGAAAGAATAGGTACCAGTTGTTGGTGCAGAGAAAACTGATCAGGGCGAAAGGAAAAGGCGGAGCATTAACTGAAGACGACTCGTCTCGAATGTAACTCGAACATGCCATGCTACTTGTCATTGCACTAATGGTGGTATAATTGGTTAGACCATTGTTGGTTCCACTTTCTTTTGCCCTGTGCGGCCTGTTACCTCCATCTTCAAAAGTACCGCTACTCATCATTTCATCGCCAAATTCGGAGCCCTCGTCTACGCCTAGTTCATCATCAGACATTTCGGCTCGCTCCAGTGACGTCAAATCTTTCAAAAAATGTCGCAAGAGTCTCTTCATGCGCCACTTCTCTGCTCGACTGGAGACATTTCTTTTCAAGTAGTAGATGACTAGTCTATCCGCATCTCTGATTGCTTGAGAACTCTCGTATTTTAGCTTCAGATGAGGTGTCCACGGTCTGTCGTCTTCCAGGCATCTGACCGTAATTGCAGATGGAAGATAGTCGACACCACTTTCCTCTGACATTCTCGCCTGCTCTGCATCATTGATCAATTTTTTCGACTTGGTGTTTCTCAGATCAGACTGTTTATATGAGCTGCTCCGCAGGTCTAAGGCACGCAGAGCATGTTTACTATATAGTGAATTCCAAACTTTAGTGAACTCTTTCTTCCTCTGCTCCCAGTGGTCTTGGCGATTGCGTAGGCGCGACTTCACTACACTCAATGAACTTTTCGGAGTCGTGAACAGACTTTCCAATATTTCCGGATACCTATCGCCGTATAATCTAACAAGTGCACTTTTCAAGTTGGCTGTACTTACCGAACTCAAAACATTCCGTAACTCTACGCTTTTCAGGTCTCCAGCGGCACCTGATGTCTTCGAAACCGCCTTTTGCAGTGCCTCTATGCTCTTAATAGCAGCACTATTCACGTCCATCATCAAGTCTAGCTCAAAGCGCTCATCATCAATACGACTCATGTAGTCTTGACTGTACCTCTTTCTACTAGAGGCAGGCACATATGAGCTCTGTTCTGCGGCTGATGATACAGATCTGTACTGCGTGTTAATGCATTCTAATATTGCAGGCTCTAATTTAACACTATTGAATGAAGAGGCTTCTGTTTCTTCCTTTGGTAGAACACGGTAACTGGTTCCATGTTTGGGCAAGGCGTACAAGTCTAAAGGTTCAAATACAAATTCAACCATCACTTCTGAATTATTGCACAGGGTCGCTACAGGCTCCTCCTCCATCTTTGCGGCTTTGTTCATCTTCGGAGCAATAGAATTTTCCTTACTACTGTTTTCAGTCTTTGTCTTTGGTCTTCCGAGAGTGGGCAAATGGCCGTTCGATGTTTTTCTTAATTTCAGGTCAACATTTTTACACGTTGGCGGTAACTCTTCTTCGAATTCATCTGTAGACTCTCCGTCATCATTGCTCTCCAGTTCGTTATCTTTATCCGTCAAACGCATCTGGTGAGTCCGGAGAGGAAAACGATCACCGGTAATTTTATGCTCGGCATCACTGGATTTCAAACCCAGAAACTGGACAAGCCAGTCGAAAGCAACGCTACAATTCTGGTCTTCAGAAAGCTGGATCAGCGGCAAAATCATCCGAATAAACTCCTTTTTGGTGATAATTTTGTTATTCAGCATATACATGCACTTAATGAAATCATTGTAAGCAGATTCGTTATCTGTCCTAGCTCGCAACATATTTCTGATTTCATCAAACATGGCAAACTCACTCCTTGTATTAACCAAGTTAACCCTATCTGATTGCTCTACAGTTTTACTTTTCTTCCGCGGGATATCGGAAACCATTTCATGAACTACTCCGGGATTAAGTAAATCACGAGAAGCTATCAAACTGTTAGAGGAGAACCTGGACGTTGGGCTTTCGAATTCGTTGCTCTGGGTCCTCCTCCTACTGTGCTTGACCGGCGGTCGATTTTCCCGTACAGTGGTCTGGGTGAATTCAGGGTTCTGTGATCTCATCTGTCCAGAAGACTGCGGTCGTTTCTTCTGTCCAGCTAGCATTCCAGACATCATATCAGGGAGGAAATTGGCAAACTCGGCCATTAAATCCTTGTCGTTCTTGAACAGAGAGGACACCTTTTCATAGAGGTCTTTGCCGATAAGTGGCATCTTCTCAGTTCCTAAGTCTTGGTCTTTGTAATATTTCAAAATCTCAAGAAACGAGTCGTATACACCAGGTTCATCCGCAAAACGCTCTTTTATTCGGTTCACAAAATTAACAGCCCGATCAAACTCAGCTGAAGTTTGCTCTTCCGTTTTGATTAAACCGCTCACAGGGGTATTATCTGAATTTTTCGTTTCTTTCAGTTTGGCTGCACGCCCCTTCACTGAGTTCACTGCTGTTGAAACCAGCTTCGAGTTTCCTGGCGCTGGTGAAAGGTGCGGTGTTATAACTTGCATCTGGGGCTTCTGAGGAGGATGGTTGAGAAAGGGCAAAGCGTTGGGCCTAACACCATGACCAGGCGGGTTCGATGGGGTCAAATTGGCGTCAGATGGCGACGGAGTTGCAACTATCGAAATTGGTGCTGTGTCCGCAGGAGTTACGACTTGTACATTGCCATTGTTGTAGTAGATGCGGTATCCGGGAGGCAGAAAGGCATTGAACCCCGTGATAAGACTTCCGTGTCCTTTGAACAGTTCCGACACTCGCTGGATGACAATCGAAGTGTCAATCAATTGAGATTTAAACTGCTTCATGATTTCTAGAAAATCATTGTAGACTGAACTGGATCCGAACTGAGACTTGACTCGGTCCAGATAATTCAGAGCATCCTCCACTTTCACTTTTTGCGGACTGTTTGCGATCACAGGTTGCACAACGCCTAAGTGGCTTCCATGCAGGTTTGGCTGGACAGCAGTTACTACCACTGAACTGTTCACTTCAGGAGTAAAACGCAATGACTGGGCGACCACAGCTTGGTTCATCCCACTTGTACCCAACATCTGAGCCGACGCCACCCCTGTCGGAACTGTAATTTTCACCGGTGACGGCGCGCCAGCGGCGTTTATTGTGAAATGTGTGGCCATTGTAGCTGACATAGGAGATGCATGGTTTACTTGGCCTCCTCCGTTCACCACGTGGTGTTTGTTCATGCCTGTGATTGACGAGTGTACGACAGCGGGGAGTGGAAGGGAGGTGACATTATGATTTTTAGCCATTTTATTCCGAGTTGATAGCTTTTCAACACCAGCTTAATATTCCAACAACTGATAGATATTAACAATTAATCATGGCATCAGCCAGATCATTTATGGGCGGCGGGTCAATTTTTTACAACTATTATGTGACAGCAAACTTGCTCGCTAAGTAATTCTTTCGTACTAAAGAACATTCTTCTGAAACTGAAAGATAATGGTCATTTAAGAATCAAACCCGGTTGCTTGGTAGGTAGATAATCACTTTCTAAAAAAATTTAAAATTATCGTTCTTTATCTTATTGCAGTTATACCATTGCAGTTATTTTGGATTCAAACTCTTGATTTTTGGGCTATTTTTTCAATTGAAGTGCACAAGATGCCTAAGTCATTTGAGCAACACCATAACAACATTGAATTTTGTCACATTTAGGCGTTTTGTGGCTTTTCTTATTTAACGTCGTTAAAAAGAAATATTCGAAAAGTTTTTAATAGTATTGTAGATACATATACATAAGTGATTGTAATATAAAACTATTATTTACAATACAGGAGTGTCTATTTTGAGAAACATCAATATACTTTCCTTCGAATAAATTTAGGCAATCAGTATTGAGAGAGCCAACAAAACCAATTGGTATAAAGTGGTCCACTTATTATGTTCTTGTCACAATACAGCTCAAACTAATAGAAAACTCAAACTACAGCATAGCAATATTAACAACTCAAAATGCCAATTCATTACAATACGCTATTCATCTTTATTATTATTTCGAGGGGCTAGGTAAGGGAGAAAACTTGATGGCTGGTGTTGTTATGACAGGCTGGAGGCTTGAAACATCTTCAATAAATGCTACTACTTTCACTGAAACCCCAAGTCATTTTCAGATGAGATGCTTTGACTAGTAACTATTGTCTTTAAATTGAGTGAGCGTGAGCATAATTCGTCGTCTGCTAGAAGTCTGTTAGTAAAATAGAAGAACAATTGGGATAGAATGAGCAAACGGCACAAACTGTGCAGGCAGGCTAGCTAGTCGTCTCCAGCCACAGTTGACGAAGGTTCGTCTCCGGGGCACACTGGCCCTGAGAACGACTTAGCTAGTCCGGAGGAGCTCAAGAAGTTGAAGTTATCTCCCAACTGTTCGTCCGTGTCGTTTTCACCTTGTTCTAAGTTCGCAGCCGGGAATATAGGTGGCCCTGTCATCGCAGGTGACACACTATCTGATGAGCTAGAGGCCGTTGCTTCCACATCTACACCAGGAGATGTGCTCTGTGAGGTAAAAGGAGTCTCCGATGGAGCAGCTGATTCTACATTTGTCGTCGTCGTCATTTCTTCATTAGCTTCAACCGACTGCAAAACCATGGGTGTCTCAGTGTTTGGATTGATACTGTCTAGGCCTTTTGAGAAACTGGTCCCAAAACTGGTGAAGTCTGCCCAATTAGATGAATCATCTGTCGGATTAGATGCCACACCGAAGGGATCTACATTAGGCGTGACAACTCCCTGTGGAATAATAGTCCCTGGATCTGTCTTTTCCGGCCAGTCTTTAGACGTTGAAGAGGAAAAGAGGTCGTAACTCGAAAATGGGTCCATTGTAGACTGGGCTGAACTAGCAGTGAAAAAGTCTGGAGTACCAGTGTTCGTTTGCGTCTCTGGGGATCCAAATACCTCATTGAACTTAGCCTCAAATGAAGCGCCTCCAAACGTAGTCTGATTAGGCGAAGATGTCTGCGTGAAGTCTGGCTTGCTACTTAAATCCATATCTTCCAAGTCGTCCTCGTCTAAATCTTTGAAGGTGTTCAATCTTTGTTCGCACAGACTTTCGAAGAGGTTGGTGGATCTTTCGTGGTCAGCTTCTGTCATCGAGGATACCGGAGGGTGGCTGAATTGGGGCACTGGTAACGACTTTCCACTAAAGAACTCGTCCAAGTCTCTGGGTCCTGTGAGACTCTCGAAGTGTGAGGTATCAGTTGTCATTTCCTGAGTAGAATACTCTATGAATGCTTTCTGGAGAGCTGGCTCCTCGTTGAAAGAGAGCATGACGTTTGCTGACTCGTCATCATCTATGCTGTATTTGTTTGGATTCGTCCCTCCCAGAGGCTTTTCATAGTCCCGTAGAATCTAAACTCCGACTATTTCAACTTCTATATTTATTTCAAAACACAAAAAAGCATTGAAATTAATATAAGCAGAAAATTCAAAAAAATTGAAAAAACCAAAGGAAACCGAAAAAAAAAGATGGTTGAAATTTTTTCAATTTTGAACATTCAGTAAGAAACATATCTCGCTATAGCTCTTTGAATTTCAGAAACTGTTTATGAACGGCCTTTTTTCTCAAAATTATGCCATTTAGAAAAAAATGGACCAATAGGCATTTTTTTATTCCGCTGAGAATCCGAGAAAAAATCAATTAACTTCTAAGAAAAATATATGGCAAGGAAGCTCTTTAAATATTAAGAACAATTTTACTGAAACTTTTTGGTCAAATTAACCGAACTTGAGAACACTGGACCGAAAAGTAATTTAATCTGTTAATGAACTGAATTTAAACATAGAGGCAAAGCGAAGCTTCGGATCATTTTCCATACAACGGAAGCGTAGCAATGTAAATTACCAATTAGTCAGTGAGGTAGAAATAACTATATCGAAAAAAAAACTTGAAAAAATCTTTTTTGAAAATACGAAACATTCAATCTCAGAAAACAGACGAAAAAAAACAACCACTGGCATTTAACAAGCTTTAAGTTTTTCCGAGCGTTCACTCAACACGTGATCGGACATCAATTAATCTAGAACCAAAAATGGCAAAGGAAATTGATCTGCCGATGATTTTTTGTTATTAAACCATTTGGGTTTTAAAAAACAGGCGCTTACAGGATTCGACCCTAGGCCCTTAGCCATTTCCATAACCAGTAGTTAACTTAGAGTTTTCGACAAATTGAGCATGTTTGCTGCAGAGTTGATTGTAATTGCCTATATGCATAACTGAATGTAACTGTAAAAATGATTTAGTGATAGTGTTAAACTAGTCGTTAACCCGAAAAAAAAGATGTTCCGATTTGATAACGCTTGCTAATAGAAAGCGTAAAAATACATTTATCGCGAAAAAAGAATAGGTCCAAAAACGATCAAAACTTCAAAGATTTGACTTTTCCTGAGTCTATAGCGGTTTCTCTACTAGCCCCTATCACAAGAAAAACCTTTTTCCGATTGATTTTTTCAACCTCCAAACTGACAGGGTAGTTTTTGAAAAAAGAACTTTTCGAAAAACTGGTCAAAGTTTCCTACAGCCCACTAATAAAAATCAAATCAACTGTTTTTTCTCAAAAACTGAAATTTGTGAAATAAAACCCTGAAACAACTTTTTGAACAGCTTCGCACTATCTGAGACAAAAAAAGCCACTAAGTAAAAAGCGCAATAAAAATCACAAAGCCGGTATAAAATAGGCCGAAACTTGTTAAGCCGAAAAAAAAGAAAAACTGAAAAAATTAAAAATTTCGAATAGGACAAAATTTCAAAAAGAGAACATGTACAAAAAATATCTGATGCAGCAAAATTGTTGCTAACAGAGGTTTTCAGGAAACGAGTCTAGTGATCCCTGTGAACAAAGTTATTTATGGAAAATAAAGTCTAGTACCCGGTAGGAACATACTTGCATTCGCAATAGTTAAAAATGAGTAGCAAAAAAGAACACCGAAAAGTTGAATCATTCGCGCTCCAAGAGACGTTTGGTAAAACCGCAGATGACGTCGGGAAGTGGCATTGAACATTTTGCATTGATAAAATGAAATACATCATTCAAATGCATTATTGTAAAACGTTAAAATAGATTGGCATTAGAACAAGTCAACACGGTATCCTTAAACATTAGTCACACGAAACGCTATTTAAATAATCTATAGTTAGATAGACAGACGGGTAGATAGAAAGCTAAACTTACAGAGAGACGAAGCAGAGCTTCGCACCCCCTGCGATGCAAACTCTAACTATTTCAAGATGAACAGTCAAACCGAAAAAAAAACTTCAAAAAAAATCTTGCAACTGAATTACTGACATTTTTCATGACAGATACATAGCATGACAAACGAACAGACAAAAATAGAGATGAAAGCCGGGGAAAAATTGCATTTTTTTAAATTGAAAAATAGATCTATCAAAAAATGTTCTACAATTTGTCTTGATTTTTTTTTCAAAAAAAATATACCCAGAAAAAAAATAATTAAGCGTTAATTAAGCATCGAAAGGAAACTAACACAGCGGCAACAAAGCCAAAAACTCTTGAGCAGATACGTTTTGCCAAACAAAAATCGTTTTTCATAAGAAAAACTTAAAAATTCTAAAGCAAGAGAAGTCCTAATCAGAAGTATTAGGCAAAATCTTTTTTGCTCCTCGAAAAGAAGTTTCCTAGCCGATATGTTGCGAGCCGAAAACTTTAAGGCCGAATCAAAATGAAAGAGCAAATAAAAAAAGCTGACATGGAGTTGGTATTGGTAAGCTAAAAAAAAGAAAAACAAATTTCGAATAAAACGGGCAATTAAAATGCAGATATCCTCAAAAATTGACTGTTGCCTGCAAAAATACAATTGATGATGCAAATTTTAGTACTTCAGTGAACACAGTTGTTTACAGGGGAAAAAGTCTAGTACCCGGTTGCAATACCCTTGCTTGTCACAAATGTAATTAATTAACAATCAGGGATCCAGTGCAGAATTTCATCACTGAGTATGACTTTGAATAAAAAATCCTCTTTACGACCAAACAAAAGCTCTCACAAGAAGCTCAAGGCAAAAACCCGTGCAAAGCACAAAATACTGATGACTGCGTGTTAAGTTCATGATAGAAAAACGTTCATTTTACTTTTTGTCTACAAATCAACATTATCAATAAACAGATAGATCCCATTACAGATATAAACGAAATCATGAGCGATAGCTTCAGATGAGAATAAAGGTTGATATGGTGACTACATTCAAAAGGAATGCAGTGAGAACGCAGTTCTCTAGCGTGCTCTGAGTCGAAGAATTGGAAGTTTCTATTGCATAAGGATCCCAGGCTCGAGCTGTGGCCTGCGACCACGACCTTGCACTTCTGAGAGACATTAAACAGGATCGAAAGGTGGTCATGCTCAACCTTTTCACGAGGGCTTGCATGGTCTGTTGAGTTATGCAAACTAAGCTTTATTAAAACATAATTTGAGAACGCTCAATGAAGCATACTTTTTTGCAAAAAAAAACATTTATATATCTCAAAAATCAAATTTTCTTAAAATAGTGACTAAGACACCAGCCGTACGCAAAAACACGAAAAAGATGATTAAAACTTCAGTTAAACTTTTATCGAAAAATGTTTGAGGGTTGAACGGAGCTTTTTTTTCTAATAAGTTATAGATCAAGAAAAACAATTGAAAGCTCTTTTGAATAAAACAAAAAAACGTGGAACTTTTTTGTGGAGATTTTTCAAAGGACTCAAAGAGAAATCATTAAGTTTCTGGGAAAAATTTATAGAACAGCCGAATCGTTTTTCTTAAATTGTTTAAGAAACTTATTTCGAGAAGAATGAAAATACAAATCGGAACTTTCGTGGAAAGACTTTTGTAAAAAGAATATGACGTTGCGGAAGACTTCAACGGGTAGAGAGAGATAGCGTGTAAAAATAAACGTGTAAAAGTCGCTTAAACACGGTACAAAAGAACACGTCAATTAAAAATATCATATACATATTGGGGAAAAAGTCGATGATAAATTGAATTCGAAAACAATGAATCAAATTTTTTAAGTTAATTTTAAGCGCTTAAGAGATAAGACTACCAAGGACGATCTTAAGCAGTAAAAAAATTTCAGGTTACTGCGCTGTCATTTAAACAATTTTGAATCTGGTAAAAACTAATATTTTTCTGCCAAAAGTCTTCTACCAAAGTGAACTTGAACCAAAAACTCGCTCGTCGTAGTCCCTCACGGCCGGTTCGTTTAACTTTTTTGAACTTGTTCACTCTACGGATACTTCTTCTTCTACACTACGATGTCCCTATAACACCCGCAGAGCAGGATGAAAGCTTGAGCCAATGCAGCAGTAACCAGTGAATAAGTTCGAGAGGGGCTTGGGCTTCCGAAACAAACCGAAGCCCACAATAAAGAGGGCTTCAGGAGAGCTAGCAAAAGACTGTAGCACCAAGTAAGTATCACCAATTATGAGAAGCAAAACTCAAAATAGCCCGGATTTAAATTTCAAAAAACAATATACAAAAAGGAGAAATAAAACATTGCATAGCATGCTTCAAGTTAATGCTTAAAAATGATTCAATGCATGATAAAAACGATGCGAAAACGCACAAAACCTATTTGACAACATAGCTATACAAATATAGACTAGCTGAAACATTTCGAGATTGCGTATAAGTCTTAATATGTAAACTTCCTTAAACATGGCTGGAAATTTCTCGCTCAATTAAATAATACCAGCGTGTAACGCACCTCCGGAGCTTCGAATTTTTGGCAACTCATAATTTTTAGTTGTTTGAAAACAAGATCTGCAAGCTTCTAGTGTACTCTGACAGCACCCAATTTCAGATTTAGTAAATAATTTGTTTCGTTTTTTTTTCTAAGTCTAATTTAAAAAAAAAACGTCAGAACTCAAAAATTTAGTGAACTTTTGAAGGGATATGAAGGTCAAACTCACAACCACCGAGAGTTATCTGAAAACAACCTACTATAGGGTTGAGAATTTCAAATGTTGTTGATTTTTTGAACCTATGTTTAGGAAAAAGTTGAAAAAATCTTAAATAACGTCAAATCTAGGAAAAAAATGGTTTGAGCATTCATGTTTGGATGCAACATTCGGAACGTCCTAGTGCACCCTGACAAAAAGGTTGTCTCCCTATAAAGTAAGGAATGTTAGTTTTTCGAAAGTATGTTCTTTGACAATTTTAGGAAAAATGAAAAAAAAAAACATCACATCTCGGAAACTAAAAGCATTTCACCAGCCGCATTTGAACGCAAAATTACCAACCGCTTAGAAAACTCTCACAGCACCCAAGAAAGGGGTTATGAATTTAGAATGTTTATAAATTTTTTTCAAATCTAAGGTTTTCTGAAAATTTTGAAACAAATCATAAAAAAACGTC